CTTATGATATTATGAAGACTTTTAAATTTTATTTAAAATAAATTAAAAGTTAAAGCTTTAACTATTTTGAGCTCATATATTTATCATCAAAATTTATTTAAATTAAATAAACAATTTAAATCAAATAAATATCAGCCTGCTCAGTCCCTGTTTATTTATAAATATAAAGTAAATAATAATATAATTATAAATAAAAATTTATAAAGTATTCTATTTATTATTTTATTTAAAGCTCACTCTACAGAGTTGTTAGATTGCTATGGAAGCTTTTATCACAGATAGATAATATTTGATTTCAGATACTGATGCAGATTTATCCATAACAGAGACAGAAGAAGAATGAGTACTAAGATTTCAAAGTGTAAAATATTAATTGAAGCTAAAGAAAATGTTATGTAGTGTAAAGTTAAAAATAATCAAAAAAAAATAAATACTTAAAAGTGTGTAAAAAAGAAGTTAGAGAGCAATCTATCATTTGTACTTTTTCTTAGGAGCAGGTTCACAACAGTTGTAGTGGAATACAAAATGGTCTTAACTTGGTTTTTTTTTAGTTTAGAAATTGTTCGTTTAATGAATACAGAGAAGTAAAAAAAAAGATATTGAAATAAATAGCAATAAAAAGATAAAGTGTGTTTGTAAGATTTTTTATGTTGTAGATACAACTAGATCAGCTAAGAGTGTTTATTTAAAGAAAGATTGATCAAGTGCAAAAGATAAATTTACTCTAGTAAAGTTCAGAGATTTTTATCCACTTCTATTAACAAAAGGTGCATTAAAAATAAAAATAAAATATACAGCACATGAAAAGATGCTATATAACATTAATATGGTTTGCACACAGAAAAAGTAGAACTAGAAGTAGGAAAATTTGTTTCAAAAAAGTTTAAGTTTTAAAAAAAAACGCTGGGTGCGGTCAAGTATCAGAAACGACATAAGGAGAAACTTTCAAACAGTGTCGCTGAGAGCTTTTGCCCTGCCTGGGACAGCAACCCTGACTAGCGTCCTCATTTTTATACGACTTTTCTATATTATTAGTCAAGGACCTTAGTTTGGGTACATTTTTGTTTTACACCCCTGCTGATCTGAATGCTGATTAAATTTTAAGCATATATAATGCCGAAGCTTCGGCAAAGTGACTTTGACCGAATATTCGGCTTCGGCAAAATTTTAGCTTCGGTACATCCCTACTTCTAACAGTAAACAAAAATTTGTTGCTACAGATGATCTTATTGTGTTGGATGAAAATATTACATTTCAAAATGAAAATATTACGTATAGTCTTGATATCAAACATGCTCCTTAGGCATATATAGATAATCTACCTGAAAATATTGAAAATATGCTTAATATTCTTGAAAGGTATAAAGTTTAATATATTTGCACAAGTTTAAGTTAAATGTACAAAGATGTTTAAACTGTTGCAATTATTTTTATGTTAATGTTTTTTATTTTAAGTTTCAAGTTAATAAAACATAATGGAATAAAGAAAAATGAAATCTACATTAAAATTGGTGGAGACCATTGGGGTGGTTCATTTAAAATGAGTCATCAAATAGTTAACCAAGACCAACCCATCTCGAAATCTAACTCTATTGTGTTTAGCATATTTGAAGCCAAAGACTATTGAACTGATCTTATAGTAGGGCTATCTCGTTATACACTGCAAGTTGATAAGATACAAAACATGAAGTGGCAGTAAATTACAATGTCCAAGCTAGTGGTAAGTTTACTCCTCTTTCATTAGACTCACAAAAAAGCATATTTTTTAAAAGTAAGTAAAAAGCATTGACAAGAAAACTTGAGAACTTTAAAAACTTAGTTAATTAACATCTTACTAAACTCATAGCTTTATTTTATGCATAGGTCAACATTGCTGTCTTTTTTGTGACATCACCAAAAAAATTATCCAACTGGCTCGAATATGTAGAGAACATGTTTCACAAAGATCTCTAAACTCCTTAAACAATGACTTTCATCGTTTTTAAAGTAATGGAGTAAATTTGAAAAATGCAAACTTTTTAATAATGTGATTAATGAAACGCTATTTAATATCCTCTAGACCAGGTAATATAGTTTAGCACTTTTATTTTTTAATCTTTTCAATACTGGTGGTGGTTCAATATTGTGGTTAATATTAGTAGTCTAATAAACATTAGAAATTGTTAGTCTAATAATCCTAACATTTTTTTTTAGGTTGGTGTAACTGCTTTACATATATCTTTGGGTACCTATTTAAAATTTTTTAACATGTTTGAAGACGAATGCCATTTAATAGATATAAAATTCGAACAAGAACTTGCTTTAAAAGATAATATTTGATTAGTAAAACTGATTTTGACAGATATGTTAACATGCATATCCAATCCAACCTTGTTAAAAGTGTTATTGAAGACTGTGACAATAAAGTTGCACTTCTACAAGATAAAATATCTGTAAAAGTTTTATGTGAGCCAGAAAATACGGAAGAAATAAGGAACTTATATACACCAAGAATAATATTCTATGATTTAAAAAAAAACGATAAGTTATTGATTGTTATGTTACTACAAAAATGTACTTTTGAATTATTTATAACGTTGAAATAAATTTAAAATGAAATTTTTGGTAAATTAAAATGTTTTTAAAAATTATAATTACATATATGCTTAAATTTTAAAAAAACCTTTTTTTTATAGATAAAAGAATTAATTTCCTTAAATTAAGCAAACGTTTTTGATAAAACTTTAGATCCTTGCATTTAACAACTTGATGAGGTGTTGAAGGCTAATAAAGTAGAAAGACAAGCTTATCATGGAAAATGCTTTGTTGGAAACCATGTTCACACAATGCTTAAGGTTTTTGCTTTATAGTTTATATATTATATTTTTTAAAAAAAGATCTATATATTTAGAACATTCATTCTGAAAAACAGCATTTAAAAAACAAATTGCCATGGGTGAACTGGGAAACTGGTTACTGAGAAAAATCTTGATGTGGCTTTCTAATTATTGATATAAGGATGCCTTTTATCTTTCCCCATTTTTTTACTTTGAACAACCATATATTAGCAAATTAAGTCAATTTACTATGACACTCTATTTTAAGATTTTAATTTAATTGGAGTACCAAATTCCACCCCACCCTTTCATTCCGCAAAAAACTAGAGTTTGCCGACAAAAAAAGAACTTCTGAATTCAGTATTTAATAAGTCAGTTTAAATAATTTAATCTAATGTTAAGCTAATGCAACAGAACTGTGAAAATATTGAAAAACTATTTAATTTTACAAATATATTTTTTTTTAGCTTCAACCATTGCTAGATTTGTGCAATTCTATTCCAAAACTAATATCAACTCTTGATTTTAGTGGCACTGATGTTCATTTGTTATCAATTAAAGTGAGCCAAAAATTTAAGCAGTTATTTCATTATTATTCAAAATGTTATAATTTCCCAATCTTTTCAAGATATTAACATTCGGGAGCTAGGTAAGTTTTCTTTTTAAGCAATCTGGTGGTTGAGTTTAACACATTTTTAAGCTAATTGAAAAGCAAATATTGAAAAAGAGCCTAGTATGCTCATTGATTACTTTTAGGTAGATTATTTAACTTTAGAATTTGCAATCCGCACGTTTATGGAGTATTATCGGTTGAGTTGACCGAGTGCATCTGTAACTCCAAAGATGCATTTGCTTGATACCCATGTCATTCAATTTATGGAGAAAATAGGACTCGGTATTGGAGCTTATGAGGAACAAGGCGGCGAAAGTTTGCATGCTGAATTTAACAACCTTAATCGTTTATTTTGGTACATGAAAGGCTTTAGTCGTTTAAAAAGCACGTTAAAAGAACATTTTCTGAAAAACCATCTGAAAGCTAAAGCCATGAAACCAGAAGTAAAAAAAATTAAAAAAATTGCATAGGTCTTAAAAACTATTGCATATAAAAATGTATTGAAAATCCAATCTTTTAATAAAAAGGTTCACTAAGCAGTAAAGAATAAAAAAATGGAATGGGTCAAATGGAATAGTTAAGGATTTTATTTATTAATTTTTTACGAAAAAAAAATTTTTCCTTTATTTTTTTTCAAAGTTGTAGAGAGTATTGAGCTGTATTTAAATATATAAAATTATAACAATTTTTTTGTAAAGTTTTTTATAAAACTTTATTTGATTAAAAATTTATTCCATTCTACACTAACATTCGGAAAGAATGAAATACGCAAATATAAGTGTAATTAAAACAACACTTTATTTTAAAAAAAAGCAATCAATAATAACAATTAAAAAAACAATCAATAATAACAAATATAAAAATCAATCAAATAAAATAAACTTCTTTGTTCTTGTAATGATGTTGAGCCGTTTAGAGTTACTAGAGGTTGAGTTGAGTTTTCACTTGTGCGGCACTTTGTGTAAAACTAAGCGCCTTTTACGTATCGCTTTGGTATGCATGTTTCACAAAGCCAAATCTTGCAATTTGAATTTTCACACTGGTACCATTCTATAATTTGACTTGCTGAAGTTTCGCCCAAAACTTTTCGACACTCTTAACCTTTGAATTGGTTTGCAGCTAATATTTTCGTTGGACTTGTTTCTTAGTTTATTTGCTGTTCTTCATTAGAGCTAAGCTTAGGTTGTTTTTTAGCTTGCTTTGCTACTTTTTTGCTCTCAGCATCTTTCAACTTTTCAAGTATTTCAGGTTTGTTGAGACACTTCCCTTCGGATCTTAGCACATCTACATTTTTTCTTTTTTAGTGTCAACGTGTTGGATACGAAACGTTTGTTACAAAGCTGATCCAAGTGATTGGGCTGATTGCAGTTGTTTTGCAACCTCTTTTTGAATTTCCTTTTGAATAGCCTGAGTAACTACAATATTGTGATTTGTTTTGTGAAACTTTTCAAACGTAACTTATGCGCATGCTCACAATAAAATAACAAGCTTAAACCACCGTGTTTTTTAACGAAAGTTTACCACAAAAATGACGTCTTTTAAATTTGTGTAGCTGCCCTGTTAGCAAGCATAAATAACAAACCTATATATTTATAGATAATATAAGCAGTATACTTAATTTAAAAAAAAAAAAAAAGTTAATTTTATAATGTGTTAAAAATTATGGTCATTTTGTTAAGGTTTTGCACCACTGTGCACTGGTCATTTTTAACCACCTGAGAGAAGTATTATTTTTTGCATATCGCAGTCTGTAGAACTTTTGTTTGTATTTATCACCTCTTTTTCTCAAATTGTTTTTTTCTTCAGCGTATCTCTATATTTTCTACGAACGTTTAGTTTCTTTTTCTGGAACTCGATTCCTGACTTGGACCAGTTAGTGCATTGATGTCTATTTCATGTCGATAGAAATAATTACAGTTGGACTTTCAGGTGGTGTAGACAAATTTTCATTAAGTTGCTGCCTCTTCTTTTTCATTTCCTGAATTCTCTTATTTTTTTTCCAACCTTTTCTTACTGTTCTTTTATCGCTTTCATGAATTTTTTTTCGAATTGATTTTTTTCTTTCTCTATCTTTCCGTTTTTGTTATTCATACTTGTCTGGATTTTCAGCTTTTATCTTTACTCTTGCTTTTTTCATATTTAGTCTTTTCAATTCTCTAGTTTTTTCTGTCCTTCCCATTTTTGTTAACTGTAAGTTAAGGAGTAATTATAACTTATCGGGATAGAAACATTTATCTTTTCAATAATAATAACTTGGCTATATGAGCAAAGTTTTAAAATGTTAAAAATACTATAAATAGGCATTACAAAATGTACGCACAGGTAAAATTGTCATTTATTGTCAGGTCAGTTTCATGTGTGTCACGTCTGTTGCTTTCTCTACTGCACAGACATGACAAATTGGAGGAGAAACCGTAAAAGTAGTACTATGTTTTGAGGCTAGAACAATGTTCCCATTGAAGTAAATACGCTTAGGTAATTGCAATTTAACAAAAGTATTTTTTATAAAAAAGTATAACTATTTACCCTGAGTATGTTTGCCACAGATGTGACACACTAATACTAACAAATTCAACTTTTAAAACTTCAACACTTATTAGCACTACACAAATTCAACAAAAATTCCTTCAGTATTACTTATTAACAAAAATGTCTGATGGTTCAGCTATGGCTGCAACATAGAAGACTACTGCTGCCTTCTACAGCTTTTTTTGGAAATAACAACCCTATCCACAGACACGACACTTAAAATGGTGACAAGAGCTTTAACTACATAAAAGTTTCTTTAAAAGCATGTTTTGAGGAAAATGTGCAAACTCAAATTTTATTGTATTTTTAATTATTTATTATGTATTAAAATAAAAGTAAGGTACTAGCAACAAGTTTGCACTACTTGGGATTAGCAAAAAGTCTGGGTGGTCACATTCCACGGACGTGATTTGTCACAACCTTGGGGAATATTATTAATTCGCTGAAAATAATATTTTGGAATTTATTGGTTTTCATCAGTTTAACAAAATTTTCAAAATAGATTCTTGTTATGATTTCTAAAAAAAAAGAGTTGCCAAAAATTTATCTTAATTTTATATCAAATTATTTTTAAAACAATTGTTATAAATTTTGTTATTATAAAGAAAATAATACTTTTAAATGCTTTTTAAAGATTTATAGTAAAACTAGGGCCCTGTGAATAGGCAGTTTTTGTTTCGAATTCAATCTCGAATCAAAGAAGGTCTTAACTCGCAATTCCAATCATATTTCGAATTAACATTTTGAAGTCCTTATTTAAGCATTTTTTATATAATAATATATATTTCAGAATAAAATAAATTAAAATTTTTATATTCTCTTTATTGATGATTTTTGCCCTGGTTAAACTTTTTAATGACTGATTAAAAAGGTATTTAAGGATAAGTACATTATTTTGATTGAGTCAAAGCCCAGAATATCTAAAATACCCTCAACAAAAACAAAATAAGCAAGTATTTAATTTTTGAAAATTTTTGAATCGTAACTTGAATTATATTTTTGATTTGATTCGATTCAAAATTTCGAAACTTCGCAGGCCCATAGGTAAAATATTTAAACACTTTAATTTCAAGATAATTTTCACTAAGCATCTATATAATATGTAAGTTAAAGTTGTAATTTTAGTTAATTTACACTAACAAATGTTTTATGTATGAGAATAAAAAGTATTGTTTTTAAAAATAAATTTTTCCAATTTATAAAGTATAGTAGGGCAAGCAAAATGTACATTCGAGCTGTTTGGATAGAGAGAGAAAATACGATTGATAATTTTTGTGTTAGTCATCATCATTAAATGTAATAAATTGTTTCAATAAAATGCCTGAACCGCAGTCTAACTAAGAAAGATTTAAGCTGCTCAAAATTAAATATTGTTGTAATAATATAACTTTGTTTATAAACATCAAACCATTACTTTTTTTCCTTTCTTCTTTAAAATGCTCCATTTCTGTTTTTATTATATAAAATATTTAAAACATAGTTTTAAAACATTTAAAACATAGTTCTTATATCATGAGTTATGTGATAATTTCGAATTTGCCA